GAGGGGAGCTCTGAGGGAAAAAGAAACATGTGATACATTTTCAACAGAGAAAAGATACCTTTGATGGGTGGCTATTGGCCTCTCCCAAGTATTTTAAAACTAAGGACAGATAGCTGTGTTAGCCTGCTGAAATGAAAACCAAATAGATTTCCTGGGACCTTAAACACTTACGGTATCGCGCTAAGAGCACTTCCCTGGGAGTAAGCCTCACTGAATACACTTGGATCCTGAGGAGATCTGCCTAGGATGGCACTGTGACAGATTTATGGGCCATTTTGTGATGAGTGTTCATATTGGCAATGTAATATATGTACATATTTAGGCATAGAGGGAAACTATGCTTAACAGCAGGATCACACAGCAGTGAAACGCAGGGGATGCTGTTTGTGACACTTTCAAGCAAAGCCAAATGCAGATGGTATGGCTGTAAGAGCCAGCGTGGTATAGTGGTTAAGAGTGATGGACTCTAATCTGGGGGACTGGGTTTGATTCCCCATTCCTCCCCCCCACCCCCATGAAGCTTGCTGGGTGACCTTGGGCCAGTGGTAGTTCTCTCAGAACTCTCTCAGCCCCACCTACCTTACAAGGTAGCTGCTGTGTGGAGAGTAAGGGAAGGCGATTGTAAGCTGTTTTGAGACTCCATAGGGTAGAGAAATGCACGGTATAAAAATCAACTCTTCTTCTGGAGCTCTTGCGGTATCATTGGCCAGGTGGCGAGGAGGACAGAGTTGCTCTCTGCATTTGTTGCAGGTGTCTCGGTCAGGCATCCCTTTGCTGCTGATAAGTAGCTGCCACTACTTATGTGCCTGCTCACCTGCAAGGTGGTATATACCATTTTCTGCCAACCATGCCCTTTTACTGTACACAAAGAACAAAACGGGTCCTTTTTTAAATGCCAAGAACAAACTGCCCCAACCCAGACATCAAAAATGGCAACATTCACAAATAATTTCAGTCTCCGAGGACGCGCTGTCATAGACCTCAAAGCTGCCATTATTCCACAAAAAAACTTCAAAGGGAGCTCTCTCCCTATGAAATCTCTGAACGAGTATTTCTCAGTCAGCTGGACACCATGCAATTAGGGCTGAATCACAATGGTGGTTTTCTTTCACACCAGAGGTGTTTAATTAGTTTAGCAAGTTTTCTATTGCTGCTGCTGATGCAAGCAGCCCCCAGTCTCATCTTAGGTTCCTTTGAACCCAAAGCCACAGACTGGTCCCTCTCCCATTTCATGCCCTTGTACCTCTATAGTTTACACGTTTCCCCCATTATGCCAAATGAGGGCAAACGTCCTACATTTGTCAAGGTGGGCTTCCATCTATTAAGGTAAAGGTAAAGGTTCCCTTGCTCGAAAGCCAGTCGAATTCGACTCTAGGGTTGCGGTGCTCATCTCCGTTTCAAAGCCGAAGAACCAGCGCTGTCCGAAGACATTTCCGTGGTCATGTGGCCGGCATGACTAAACACCAAGGCGCACGGAACGCTGTTACCTTCCCACCGAAGTGGTACCTATTTATCTACTTGCAATTTCTTGCTTTTGAACTGCTAGGTTGGCAGGAGCTGGAACTAGAGACGGGAGCTCACTCCGTCATGTGGCAGCTCGGGTCTTGAACTGCTGAACTACCGACCTTCCACAGCCTGCAGTTGAGCGTCTTAACCACTTGAGCCACCGCAGCGCCATCTATTAGAGACTCGTCAGTTTGCAGCTGGTTTATGATGACCCCTGAGGGTTTTCAAGGCAGGAGACATTCAGAGGTGGTTTGCCATTGCCTGCTTCTGTGTCATGACCCTAGTATTCCTTGGAGGTTTCCCATCCAAATACTAACCCGGCAGGGCCGACCCTGCTTAGTTTCTGAGATCTGACAGGATTGGGGTACCCTGGGCTACCCAGGTCAGGATTAAAGCCTACATCACAAAAAAAAATCTGTTAGGTATCACACATGACTTTTTGGGGGGGATTAATTAAGACACACACACCCTGGGTGTGCAGCTGCTGGTGTGACCTTGGGTCAGTCACAAGTGCTTGCAGAGCTGTTCTCTCAAGGGCAGTTCTCACGAGAGCTCTCTCAGCCCCACCTGCCTCACAGGGTGTCTGTTGTGGGGAGGGGAAGGGAAAGGAGATTGTAAGCTGCTCTGAGACTCCAAGTGAAGGGTGGAGCATAAATCCAGTCTCTTCTCTCTTCTCTATAAACACGTCAGTTTAAAATAAAATAAACAAAATACTAAAAAGTGGACAGCTGCCCAATGCAGAAGGAGAGGGACAAGCCTAAGAGCTGACACATCTCCTTTGCATAGAGAGCATCTGGCTCATCCAGCTTGCTGCTCTGCATATGTTCCTAAAACAAGCCGCAATACTGGGCTCACAACGTGAGCAAAAAAATTCAAGGAGATGTCTCTTAGACCATCACGGCTACCTTCACTTTATCTATTCATTTGACTTATTTATACCCCATTCTCCAGCCAGGTGGGCTGCCAAAGCAGCTAAGAATTCACAGAATCTATTTATATCATTTACTTTGTTCATTATCTCTTCATTCTCACTGAGACTCAAGGTGGATTACTACATCTATTACAGTTGTTAATTGCTGTGTTCTGTTTCACACAAGAAAAGACCTTTCACCAAACGCCACAGTATCTGTTGGGTCCTGACAGAACATTGAAAAGTTGGGCAGGGACGAACGAGGGAGGGCGTCGCAAATATTAGCCTTCCACACTCCCCTGACAGATACATGTTCAAACTACCAGTCTACCATGAAGCTCCCTCAGTTACCTGGGGCAAGTTTCTTTCTCTCTCTCTTAATCCAACCTACCTCATGGGGTTGTTGTGAGGATCAAATGGGGAAGGGCTATGTATACGGCCTTGAGCTCCTTGGAGAAAAAGTGGGACCAAAAAAATTCAATAAATAAATCTTCCACCTGTTGGTGGTTTCTAGCAGCTAGGCCCTACTTGGCCTGAGGAAAACACTTCCCTCCTAAAAATGCACCCTGATGAATCTAACCCGGGAAGCACAAATGACCTGCCTCAGGAAGAGACCCAAAAACTGTTAAGGGTCAGTGAAACGCTCTGTGTGGTTTGCCTGCTGTATTGTGGGAATTGAAAGCTGCTGCGCCAATTGGCTGACACGTCCAGGCTTAGCTTCTTGTGCTTCATTAGTTGCAAGCCTGCCATTTATTCAAGCATCTAGTGTAACCCAGGTGAGACCCAACCAACTTTTCTGCTGGTGAACCTGGACCATCAAAAAGGCTATGAGGCTCACAAAGAACAAAAATCATGGGGGATAGGGGCTGTAGTAGAGGTGGAACTTGGGCATGACTAAGTGAAAAAGCTGGCTAGATCCAACCCCATATCTTCCAATGAGCTCTCTCAGGGCAATGGCAGATGCTATGGTGTGTGCTTCCACTGTCCTAACAAATTCGGTAACTTTTGTGTATCTTGTTATTTTTATTTCCAAAGTTAGCACATATTTCTCAGTCCTCCAACTAAACACTTATCTCTTTGGCCTGATACCAATTTTCTCACTAAGGGCTGTTGTTACACACTGAATTCTTACCCAATAATGCATCAAGGATTTCATCTGGCAGAACACGAGATAGCTTGCTCTGACACCAATGGGTCAAATTTGAAAAGGATGACAGTCAATGTTCCCTCTAAGGTGTGGAGTCTTGTGAGCAAAAATTCTACTTTGTGAGCTACTGGCATTAAAGTTGTGAGCGAGTGATTTGGCTGCTGCATAAATTAGTTTGCTCTGGGGCCATCCTTCTTGAGCTAAGACAAAAATGTGTGAGCCGGAGGCTAAAAAACTGTGAGCTAGCTCACACTAACTCAGCTTAGAGGGAACACTGATGACAGTGGCTGTACAATAGATACAATATCCTAGAAAGTACAGAGGTCTGTTCACAAGCTCTACTCTCTGTGGCCTTGCCTACAGACATCTGGTAGGGAGTGACCAGAAACAGGGCCTTTTTAGTGGTGGGACCTTTTGGGGAAAACAAAATCAAGGCATCACAATCTTTTAAGAATTCCTCCTATCTCTGTGGTAAAATTCATAGAATTAGGGGAATTCCTAGAATGTCATGGATGCCATGATGCCTCCCGCCCGCTCCTACTGCTCCACTGAGTGAGAGCGGGGGCTGGTGTGACAGGCAAGCTGGTGAGGCTAGGTACCTCGCTTGTGGAAGGTCCTTCCATTGTGAGGCTCGCTTAGCACCTACCCAACTATCTTTTCACCAGGATTTTGAAGAGTTGATCGTTTTCACTCATTTTACAGTCTGCTCTGCCTGAGAAGTGTTTTATGAGGTTCATTTTAAGATGTTAAATTTTGGGGGCTGCTCTTTCTGGATTTGTAATGCTGGATTATTAACAGTTTTTCCAATTGTTATGACTTTTAGGGAGTCTTCACTGTGTTTTACTTTATAAGCCGCCTTGAACAGGCTTTAGGGAGGCAGCACTGAAGTCATCCAAATAAATAAACAGATAATAAAACTAACATTCATGACTGTGCATTGTACAGGCAAGGGGAGGAGAGGAAGTACAACGCGAGGTTAAAATGTCTCACAATGCTTCAGCAAACGGAGACAGCCATGGGACTTTATACGGCTGCCACTTGTTTTGTGCCACGAGGCTTTCGCAGAGAGAAGCTGGGAGATGCAGCCACGGAGAAGTCAGACATCATTCTACCCTGTGGCCGGTTGCTGTGGCAAGGCCTACAGCTCACCGGCTCGGTCCTCCAGCCAAAAGCACCCTGTCGTGGTTTCCTGCTCCGCTGCACTCAGGTGCAGGCCCAGGCTATGTGAGAACGGCCCTTTTGTGGCAAGAGTGACTGGCAAACAGGGAGGTGGCACTGTGCCCTTTGGGGAAAAGGTTTCCTTAGGACTGTGGGCTCGTAAAATTAAAACCTGCCATCTAGCCACTCCAGTGTCCCACCCCCAACCCACTCCCTGAATAACAGGATCACTATTTGCACAGTGGTTCTTCTTCCGTCTAATCTGCGCTGCAATGCTTGCTACTCCTAGGGAGGAAGAAGGAAAGCTGTGGGAGGACCCCTTTGACCTTCCAAGCCCACCCGGCCTCCGAGATGCAGGCAGGCATCGCCCACACAAGCCTGCAGAGGCTGAGACCTAACAACTGGTGCTCTTTTTAAAAAAAGAAATCGATTCTCCAGATGCTGGATCCTGTACCCAGTGCCATGTTCTGCACCCCCAGAGAAGCACCAAGCAAACACAGCTCTGGATGCACTGACCTGCCTTGTAAGCAAAGCAAGGGAATCTGCAGGCAAAGAAAACCCACCTTGGGAACCTCTCGGCTTCTTCTGGGACCCAACCAAGCTATGGCCAGATCACAACCAGCAGGGCACAAACTGGTGCAGTCACAAGGGAAGGAGATTTTTGCAGCTTCTCCTTGGGCACCTTCTCTCCCTCTCCAAAGCAAACGTCAGGTGGGCCTGCCAGCCCCTCCTCGATAGACATAGACATGTCAACACATTACAGAGTAAACACAAGTGGGGTCCCAAATGGAGGCGGCCGCTCAGGGGTGGGGGGCTGGGCTGGCTGCTGCTCTCTCTTCCTCTTCTTGGTGCTCAAAGGCATCGTGGGCTCGCTCCAAATCCTGGATGACTTCTAGCAAGCGAGCAGCTGCTGCCATCCGCCGGTCGCTGGTGTCTGGAAGCAGAGAAAAGAAGGGTAAATCCCTGTCGCGGAAGAGGCTAGATAGAAAGGTTGCGACCCCATCTGGGAGGGATGCTGAGACAGAGAGATCTGTCTTTAGGCAAACACTCTGTTAGGTATCCATGTAAAAAATTAAGTTTTGGAAGGCAAATGGTTCATTTGCACTCTGTTAACACTCAGAGGTTAATGTAAAACTGCTAGCGCAGGTCGGCAAAAAGACTGTAGATCAAGCATTTTTCCCCAGCTAGCTTTCAGTGTACCTGGCTAGGAAGATGCCAAGCCTGTCTCTGGACGGATTAAAGTGGCGCTTAAATACAGAACCTGAAACTGTGCCAGTGCGCCTCCACCAAGCTCTGGCCACAGGAAGGAAGTGCAAAGAGGGCAAATAAAGAAACGGCTTAATCATGATGGGTTGGAACGAGTCAGGTGACACTCCTTGATATCCTCTCCCCACACACAATATATTTATTACATGTATCTGTATCCCACCTTTCTTCCATCGCAGGAACACAAAGCTGGAATACGGAGGTTTCCCAAGGATGTCCTCTCATCAATTCACTGACCAAATCTAGACCTACTGAACTTTATCAAGGATGCTGCATCAGCTGGTGACTTTTGGGTCCAAAGCTTCCAATCAGTGAATCAGACCCTGTTTATCAGTCGGAGCAGCCTAGAGACCCAGCTCCTGCTGCTTGTCCCAGTCTTCCTGGTGCCTTTTGGATCTGCTTGCTTTACTTTTCCCCATCTTAACCCTGCCTTGCTCAACTTGACTGCAGTTGGGTCTGACACCCTTCAAGGCTGGCTTTGCAAAGCTTGACTATTTAATCAACAGGGAGTGGCAGCTAATTCCTAAGAGAGTGAAATAGGATGCCTTAATTCTACGTACTGTCTGAGTGGCTGGGGCTCTGCTGGGTCTGAGGTTGCCAGATCCATGTTGGGAAACTCCTGGAGATTTACGGATGGAGCCTGGGGCGGACAGGGGCCTCAGTAGGGTACACTGCCATGGAGCCCATCTTCCAAAGCAACCATTTTCTCCAGGAGAACGTCTCGGACGCCTGGAGACAAGCAGTAATTCCAGGGGATCCCCAGGTCCTACCTGGAGGCTAGCATCCCTATCTGGAAAAAATTTCCTGTCCCTTTAAAATGGGGTGTTATTTACCTCCAGGTCACAAAAAAGACTTTATCAAAGGAACTGGCCATTTTCCTCCAAGACAGTTAGATATATCCTGTCGTTTGCTCCACTTTGGCTTATTGTCCCACCATTTTTGGAAGCATCCCCATAATACCATCCTCTGTTTATCCTCCTCATGTTCCCCTGCTTTACTGAGATCTTGCCCAAACCTGGTTTTGTGCCATCTTTTTGCAATCAAAGCACCTTTGGACGCCATATGGGTAAAACAGTGCATTTTTGCAGATCCCACCCACATCAATGCCACTTCCCCTGTCTCTGGTCCCACAGCTGCCATTTCCCCCACCCACCACCAGAGGGCTCTTGCCATTATAAAGTGGAAACTGCTGGATTGCGATAGCAGTACACCGTTAATGATCTACTGCAACAATCTAAGCGTTCCCAGATCTCATTTTTTAAAAGTAAGCCTCTAGCCCTTTTTGTTGCATAGTTATAAAAGGAAAGGTGCAAGCTGTTGAATATGCAATGGTGACTTCCAGACTGGACTATTGTAACCCTCTCTAGGTGGGGCTGCCCTTGACTCTGCTCCGGAAGTGGCAGCTAGTGCAGAATGCGGCAGCACGGGTGTTGATGGCGACACCTGCGTGGGCTCATATCCACCCAGTGCTGCGTGAACTGTACTGGCTGCCTATTGAATTCCGGATCCGCTTCAAGGTGCTGGTGCTTACCTTTAAAGCCCTATAAGGCCAGGGGCCAGCATACCTTCGAGTCCGCCTCTCCCCATATGAGCCCTGGAGGGCACTGAGGCCCAAAAACCAACATCTCTGGGTGGTCCCTGGCCCCAGGGACGTCCAGTTAGCCTTGACGATTAGCCCCGGCCTGGTGGAACGAGCTCCCCTACAAGATTAGGGCCCTGCGGGATTTATTGCAGTTCTGCAGGGCCTGTAAGATGGAGCTCTTCCACCAGGCATTTGGTTAGGGCAGAAGACGTTCCCCCCCCCCCGCCCCATCAGTGGCCTGGATCTGATTGGACATCTGATTAGACATCTGATTTAATCTAACATCAGATCTCTCTGCTTTTACACAGTATTGTATGATATTATTCTATGCAATTTGTTATTTTAATGTTATTTTAATTGTATTATTTAATTGTTGTACACCACCCTGAGCCCATCCAGGGAGGGTGGTATATAAATCAAATAAATAAAAGTCAGGAGGGGAGAGGGGAGATCAATAAGGCCTTGCCAAATGGACCTGAAATGGAAGGGCTGTGGTGTGCCTCTCCAAACCCAGAAGCCACAGTTTTGCAACCTGCTGGGGTCACAAGGCAGGCAACACGACATGGACTGGCTTCCCGCAGAGGTCCTACAGCAACTGTCAGGTCTCACTGAGCATCGGAGAAGGTCCCTGCCCATTCAGCCGTCAGAGGACTCTCACTCTTCCCTGCTTACAAGTTCAGACTGTTTCCACTTTCCAGCCTTATGAACATTGGTCACCCATCCAGGAGATGGAATCATGTACACTTGGTTAAGGATATACCGAGCGATCATTGCCATGTAACAGCAATTCACATTTCCATGGATCTGGCAAGTTTGGCAAGGAGAGAAATGTCATATTTCCAAATTTAATGTTTTGCAAGGAGCCGTTGGTTGTTTGAGAAGAAGAAAAAACAGAGAATGTGTTTCCAGGATTTCTTACCTAGGTAAGAAGGTACAATTTATTTATCACCTATGAGTCCTCCCGAAAACAACCACCGCCATTGGCTGGCTGCTGTGATGTCACAATACACTCACTGGGTGCATTCAGACGTTGCCTTTCTGCCGGCATAAACTGTTTATGCCGGCAGAAACGCGATCAGACTTACCCTCCATCTTGCATAGCCCTCCGGTGGACGCCCGCTCACACGCTGCGGGTGTCGGCGTTTTTTTTTTTTAAGGACAGTTTGAGCATGCGCATAGGCAGCCATTCAGAGAATGGCGATTTTTGCGCATGCTCAACCCCCCCCCCCTTTACGTTTAAACTTTAAAGGTAAGCACTTACCTTTAAACTTTAAAGCCCAACCTGGCCTCCCTGTAGTCCCGGACTCCTCCGGGAAGTTAAAGTAAGGCTTTTTTTTTTTAACAAATGCTGAGGGCGAAGCTTCGCCTGAGCGCATATCGCTTAATTTAAAAACAAAATGGCGGGGAAAGCCGGAAGCCCCAGGCTTCCAACGGAAGTAGCTGGGGAACGGAGGAGAGCGATCAGACGCCGGGGTGCACCGATTACAACCGTTGCACTCTGTTTACCACCACTTTGTACCTAGTGGCAGAGTAAAACGGTGTAAAGGGATTTACAATGGTTAGGGACGGGAGGCAGATGTTCGCCGTGTGAACGCCTGTAAGTACACCGGTTGGAACCGGCACCCTAACCGTTGTAAATCCCCCATCTGAACGCACCCCCTGAGTGCCAGGAGAGAAGATTCAGCAAGAGAATGTTGTTGAGGAGCAGCTTTTAAGACTATAATATCATATAGCTCTGTGCTGGTTATCAAATGGTGGGATTCCCCAGCCCCCCAATTCTTTTTTGCCTTTGGTCTGTTCTGGCAATGGAGGGGCCGATCCTACCTTCCTGGGCTCCTCTGCCTTGTTCCAGCGGAGTCTCCTTGCTTGCAAATTCCAAGCATTTCTCCCTAGGGAGAGTGACAAGGATAATACACACTAGGGCCGCAAGCTTCAAAAATGGATAGATCACTGCAGTTAACCAGCTAACACTTTAATGGCTGTAACGGTGTCACTCTTTCTTCTCCCAGGAATGACTTTGCTTAAGACAAAGGAACTTGGAATTCACATACACACACAAATAAAAACCCTTTGTGTATCCCCAAACATACATACATACATACATATATTAAAGAAAAAAGCACTTTGAATCAAATCAAACCAAAACAGCAATCTGCTAGCACTCGTTCATTCTTGAACAAATAAATGATTTTGTTGGCCCAGCTAGCTGCATTCAGAACTGTGTCACGAGTCTCGCGACAGACAAACCATTCTAAAAGCATTCGAGAGCACCATTATTCACCAGCCAGAACACGTCAGTTGCCTGATTATCCATTATTGTTTTTACCTGATTGAACTAGTAAAGTCACTTAAACTCAAGAACCAGGTGGATTGTGGGTTGTTTTTTACTGTGTCTGCTACTTTAAACAGAGTGCATTCATACATCTAGAAAGACACATGACTGCCATGGAAAACACCAGCCCCGTGTCTTTACCTCCCCTCAGCTATTCATCTCCACATTGACCCATATACGGTACACATCCCTCTTCAGAAGTATCCTTAGCTTTATGAAAGATAGGAGCCAAGATCAACCCAGATCAGTGTGTCTGAGGTGTTAAAGGCCAAAAGGGGAGTGAATAAAGTAGGAAAGGATTGTGGCTGCGTGGGAGAGCACCTGCTTCACATGCAGAAGAGTCAAAGTTCAGTCCTTGGCATCTCCTGTCACAAATTAGCTCAGGTAGCGGGTGTGGAGAAAGATTTCTCTCTCAAATTAGCTCCCTATGTTCAAAGGTTGTTTGAATTTCTAAGGGTCTAGAACAAGATTCAGGTCCTTACACAGTCTGGAGAAAGGGCTTGGCCCTAGATATATTTTTAAAGATGGGCACATCCAATTGCCTCTCTTCCTCTTCGCAAATTTGAAATACTGCTTTGCTTACGCTGAGCTGGTGGAGAGAAAATTTCTTAAGGAAGGAGGCCCTCTGCTGGAAAGACAGTACAAGCATGCAGCTCTGGGACACCATACATGGACCCCAATTGATTAGTCAAGGCCAGACGTGAATGCAATGCACACTGCAGTCCTGTAGGGGTACAGAAAACCTGCAATATGAGATTTAGGCTACAAATGCCTACTTCCTAAGACTCTATAACACCTCTCTCCCTTTAAAGACTATGTTTCTAGCCCCATACATACATTTCATAAAAGGAAACAGGACATCTGTGGGTGAAATTTGAGGAACTGTATGTTTTCCAGCCCTCTAAGTGTGGGGTTTCTGTGCCCTTCCTTAGCAGAAGCAGAATAAATTATGGGAAACAAGAACAACCATTCTCAGTTGACCTAATTTACTCTCTTGTGTTGCCGAATTTGGTGCAGAATTCTGGGTTTGTCACTGTTGTCTGAGTATGGTGTTATCTATGTGCTTGCTCAGCACCCACAGTCGCAATTTGCTCTGGGCCACTTAACACAAAGAAGCTGTGGTCATTCTCTTTCGAAGCTACACAGCACTGTAACGTAGCTCTCTCCCATCCATCCCAGCTGCAGAGTCTTCGTCTCCCACAAGAGAGACACCACAAACATAGTTGCCAACTATCAGACAGCACATCCACTCACCTGAGTTTGTCTCTGCCCAGCAGAAGTTGCCTGTACACCATCTGGGCCTCGGTATCTGGGTCCAGAGGATCGCTCCAGTCACCGAGGGTCACAGCAGAATGGGTGCGGCTGCAGCCACGAACTGTAACCAAACCACAACCACGGGTGGTCCTGTAAGGTGAGGGAATGGATGGCCACGTAGCGTAGGGTCTGATCTGGACTTGGGCTGGTATTGCAAGAGAAGCCTCAAGAGAAGGGACTTTTATACTGTTATGGGCATTGTGCAGTTGCATACATGTGTCCAAGCGTTAATATTTGCACACTTTTAAAAATAACTATAATTTTTTTCCCAAAGCAAGAGAGGCTTCACCCTGGAGCATAGGCAGGCAGAACTGGTAATCTATGGCAAGTGAGGTCATGATCTATTCACAGAAACAGGAAAAATGTTACATCTGTCCTATTATAACAGAAAGATTAAGGAAGAATGCTTTAATAAAGGGAAAGAAACTGCATTGTACGACTCTGTATACTGCATATTATCCGTCGCTTTATGTATTATACTATTATACAATTTCTTCACTGTTTAATATGCCATTTTAATACTTCAGCTTTGTTCCAGCTCTGTTCCAGATTTTACTCGGTTTTTAACTTCTGCATCTTAATCCTATTGAATACATAATCCAATTGAATACATTGATTTACACTGTGTAATCTGCCTTGAATCTCAGTCAGAAAGGCAGACTCCAAATGAGGCAAATAAATACATAAATATTACAGGTACAGGATTATTTTCTTGCAGACTTGCAGTGCCATCCTAAACAGAGTTATACCCTTCTAAGCCCATTGGCTTCAATGGATTTAGAAGGGTGTAACTTTGCTTAGGATGGCACTGTTAGTCATAAATGTAGCCAATAACCAGTCACCCTCCCCACAAAAGCTACAGATAAATATGAAAGAGAGACACTTGGAGGAAAACTGGCTTCATTTTAGAACGATCAGCCTTCACTGGGATGCCTTTATGCCCCAGTTCCTCTTAATGATATCATCCATACATGCTAGGGTTTAGAGGTCTCCAAGTACTAGGTTTGCCAGGTCCTACATGGCTGCCAGCGGGAGGATTCCCAATCCTTCCTGGAGGTTTTCTTGCATGCACGCCACAATGATGTCACCAAGAAGTAACGTCATCACATTTCTGATGTTGGAGGCAATCAGTGTTCCCTCTAAACTGAGTTAGTGTGAGCTAGCTCACAGTTTTTTGGCCTCCGGCTCACACATTTTTGTCTTAGCTCAGGAAGGATGGCTCCATAGTAAACTAATTTATAGAATTTTTGCTCCCAAGACTTCACTGCTTAGAGGGAGCCTTGTAGACAATGGTCTAGGTTTTGGGCAAAACTCTCTGGGTTTGGGGGCCTCAAAACCATAGGGTTTTGCCCAAAACCTAGAGCGTCACCCCCAACATTAGAAATGTGATGACATCACTCCAGGGTGATGTCACCATGCCAGTGGCACTGGGAGGGGGCTTCTTGGGGTGGGGCTTCCCCTGCCAGCCAGCTGGGCCATGGGAAATTGAGACCCCTGAAATTGGGGGATCTCCTGGCCCCACCGGGGGAATGGCAACCCTACCAAGTACCCTCTTGCTGTAGATTTTGTCTTCCCCTTCATCCTCAAGAAATCCTCTGGGGTGGGACGAGGTCCATTCTCAGTTTGTTTGGCCACATTTCACACGTCCAGTGACCTCAAACAGAGGTGGTCCCAGAGTAACAGACTGTACAAAGATGAGGTGACAGATTATGACCACAAGAGGCACCACTGGGTGAAAAGTTTCATTCTCTTTCTCTTTGATGCATTCAGACATCACACTAAACCATAACTTGTACTAACCATGGTTTAGACCTCAAATCATGGGCTGAGCTTCCAGACGTGCAACAGGAAAAACCATGGCTTAGAGCTGTGTATTTGTTTTGCTTCATTAGTTCAGAAAGTCACCCCAAGACAGATCATGGCTTGGTGCTATGTGAATAAGCTCTCTGTTCATGCATTCCTTCCTTTCATTCATCCTCCTGTCACACATCCAATTTCAATTCATGATTTCTGCTTTTATGAAATACATTATTTGTTTTACATCTGAACAGACAAAAGACTTTTGCGCTTACTCTGAAAACTAGGATTTCAAGCCATGGTTTGTTTGCATCAGCACAGGGCTTGTTCATGTAGCACCGAAGATAGGCGTGACCTCTAAACCATGCCAGAGTGAGGGCCATAACTATGACATGCCAATTTGGACATCAGGTCAAAAGCATAGCTAGCTCCAACCACAGCTTGAAAACCCACTTCAAACCCTGGTTTCTCATTCAAGTTAGCTGATTGATTAAAAACCATGGTTCTGCAATCTGGACAGCATGTCAAACCATGCTTAAGTCTCCTTAACGATTGCTTGGTGAAACATCTGAAATGAGCCTCAATTGCATGACCAACAAAACTTGGATAATTTTTTTTTAATTGTACAAAGGGTCCCGAAGGACAAGGATTTATCTCACATTCAGAGACAAACCCCCCCTGCATTACACAAAGTCCACACACCCCACTTATATGTAATGCTCAGGGGTCGTTTCGTAGAAAAAGAGCTAGGGGAACTCATTAGCATAACTCATTAGCATATGCCACACCCCCTGACATCACCAGAAGTGTGTCATAAGGCCACACCCCCTGACATCACCGGAAGTGTGTCATAAGGCAACACACCCCGCCCCCAACGGTCACGGCCGCCAGCGGCGGCCTTGCAGCTCCACTGCCGAGCCCCATGAGGGGCCCGGCGGTGGACCTGCAAGGCCGGCGGGAGTGCAAGGAAGCCCCGCGAAGGCCCTCCCTGGCCCCAGGCAAGCAGGGGTGGGGAGAGGCAGGGAGGAAGCAACTTACCCTTCCTCTTCTCCTGCCTCCTCCTGGCTGAATGAGGGCCGGAAGCGGGGTGGCCGGAAGCAGGGGGCGGGGCTTCGTCATGTCCCCCCCCGCACCTCACCCGGGAGAACTGCGATCCCCCGCGATCCCCCCCCCGAAATGACCTCTGGTAATGCTGAACCTCAGCAGGGTTACCTGTGCGGTCAGTTTGTAAACAACAGGTCCAGCGATTGCCACGGAAGGCTCCCGGGTGGCAGAAGGGCAGCATGCACTCGTTGGAGATGGTCGCTTTCCGGATGGCTGAGAGCCACTGATTCAACTCATTGATGTTCTGCCAAAGGAAAGGAAAGGATAGGACCCTGGAGAGTTCAAGCGATGGTTCTACTGCCCCTTTCCCTGACCTATTAACCAGATTAGATACATACCCCCAGGATGTTTGGGTCCATGGAATTTCTGCACAACAACGGGGTTCTGGTAAATGGTATTCATCTTCGACGGTACTAAAGTTACATGGGTTTCTCTTTTTTACTTTTAGATACCCAGCTTCCCATACCTGTGCCATCCCCTCAGACTTAGTCCCACACTCGTAACACTACACAACTCTGGCATGAATCTTATTTTATTTATTTATGTTATTGTATTTATACCCCGCCCTCCCCGCGAACGGGCTCAATTAATGTTTGCAATAATAAGGGACAGTTCATGGAATCAGCAGTGGTAAACCTCCTGGATCGTATGATTTCAGATTATGAGTTGCAGGGTTGCATCCCCCCCTCCACAAAAACATCCCCCCAAACCTCCTCACACATTGAAAACTGACACACACTATTCTCCTTGAGCAGTCATATTATCTGTGGGGAGTTGTACCCTAGTTTGTAATCTGATGTGGTATGAGCCAGGATGATTTGTAGCACTTGATAAAGCCAATTGGGTAAACTAGCCTGAGTACAAAATCTGGGTGATAGTAACTTGTTTGGAGGTTTAGTTCAGCTAAAAAGGTTTTGCTTTGATGCTTCTGAATGCCAGAGACCACCTAATTTAGCAACCATTGGCTCTTCCTCCTTTAATGGAACACACATGACCTAGAACTTTCATAATCTAAAGGATTTACCTTACACTGGATGTACATGGTGGAGAGCTGCCCTCCGTTGTCACGAGTTGAAATCTGCATCATGTGCGACTGCTGGAAAGTGTTTTCATCCACACGCTCCACTGCACAGATCCTCTGGACAGGGATGGAGGTACGCACCTGGAAGTGTGAGATAATCCACCTGCCCTCGTCAGTACGGATGGATGCAATTCTCTGTCCTTTAATTACTTCTCCAACGCCATTTGGTAAAGTGAAAGTACTTTCACAAAAGATATGTAAACAAAGGCTGATTTCGCACTAGAGCTGCCTCGATGTTGCGCCACCGTTTGCCCCGATACTATTGGTCAATTTCACACCTGAAGCTGCAGGGCTGCATTTTGACTCGTGGCTTTGCCCGATTTCCCCCACAGTTTCGTAATCCTGTTTTTTGAGGATCACGAAACTGCGGAAGAAATCGGGCGAAGCCACGGGTCAAATGCAGCCCCGCGGCTTCGGGTGTGAAATTGACCAATAGTATCGGGGCAAACGGTGGCGCAACATCGAGGCAGCTCTAATGCGAAATCAGCCAAAGAGACTGGCAGTCTTTGAATGAAGAAGTAAAATATTTCATATTCTAACGTTAAAAAAATAAGTCCTTCAAATAATTAAAAACTGATATAAAGTCAAATGATACTTCCCTATGTATTTGAGAGTTGGCATAATGACTAAGGGGTTGAAGTAACAGCATCTACGGTAAAGAACAAAGATTTGCATAGAATTTTACTTCTCTGGGGCAGTACTACTCTTTGGGCTATTCCTCAAGGATAGGAGATCAGAAGGAGAGATGGGCACAAACTGAGAAAATGCAGTTCAGTTCATAGTTCATGACTGAACCATGAACTAAACCAAGCTGGAATGAAAAGCTCATTTACAAACCAAACTGGTTTGTGTGGTTCCTGGCTCTGCAAATCTCGTCGAAAGGGACCACACTCCCTTTAAACAGGGTTCGCAGAAAGCCCAAAAAACAGCAGCCAGCAGAAAAGAGGGAGAGCGATCCCCGGGGAAGGGACTTCCTGCCCACCTTTCTGCTGGCCATGGCTCACCACAGCCAGCAGAAGGGGGGGGATCCCCCAAGAAGGCAGTGATTTCAATGTCTTGGAACCATTTAAACCCTGCTTTCTGCACCCACAAAAAGCCACGGGGAGCTGAAAGCAGGCTGTGAGCCACTGCAAACTGTGTCAAAATTCATGGTAGTTAATCCTGGTTCTTCAGTTTATGAAGTCTGATTCGTGAACCCCAAACAGGCCAAAATTCATGCCCATCCCTAATCGGAGGCACCCTGGAGTCATGCACACTTTTCAACTTGTCCATGAATTTCCATCCTCCTGTCTTTTCTTAGAGCTAGCTCCCATGGTTCAATGCAAACTAATGCTGATAGTGAATTTGCAAACCCTGTATCAAACTTACCATGGCTAGTGCTAGAATGCTCTATGCCTTAGCGCTAACCAAAAAAGGGGAATGAGTGGGGAATTTCAAAATGGCTTTCTCTTGTTTTTGTACTATATTAATATCATCATTACCAGCCCAACTATGGCTAGAAGTCATGAGCACATCCACCAGATAGTTCTTCCAAATTTGTGTAGAATTTCCCCTATGGACTTTGTCCCATGCTAGTTTATAGCTGTTGCATTCTTTAATGTGCCTTATAGAAAAGAATTCCACTAACAGCCTGCCAAGGTCAGCAGTGATCTCCTTCTATGGAAAGGAAAAGGAAAAGACGCCCACCTGCCAGTCGGGAGATCTGGAGTAAGACAGAGTCTCATTGCTTAGCCAGAAATAGCGTTTCTTGAAGGTGAAACGTGAGACCAAGTGGAGGCCCTCAGCCTTGCGTTTCTGCAGGTAGCCCTCCTTGATGGTGGCAGAAGGGTGGAAGGGCGTCCACGACTGGTTCTCGCTCGCTTCTAGACAAAAAGGGGGCATCATTTATTTATTTATTTTATTAGATTTATATACCGCCCGCCCCAATGGCGTCCAGCACCTCCCTCTCTTTTTGTGCTCAAAGAGGTACAAGTACAGTGAGACCTTGGCATAGATTTAATTATTTATTCCAAAACACAGAATCTGGACTGCCTGTATACAGAAGGAGGGAGAGGGTTACAATCCCGTCCATGCCTGTTGGCCATGAGTTCGTTTTTTGTTACGTTAGCACAGCTAAACACACAAACACAAACAGATGCACAGTGACATGATGCCATCTATTAGGGGCATCCAGGGCATTTTGGCCTGTTGGCCATGAGTTCGTTTTTTGTTATGTTAGCAGCACAGCTAAACACACAGACATAAACAGATGCACAGTGACATGATGTCATCTATTAGGGGCATCCAGGGCCGGCCCAGATATTTTTGGCACCCTAGATGAATGTTTTCACCCTTCCCCTATGCTATGGGGGAGGCATGGCCTGCCCCCCCATTGGAAAGCCGTCCACAGTCACACCACCCTCACTGGGGCTGGGGCTCACTGCAGTGTCACACTTCCAAATGGGGGGTCGTTTGAGAGGCAACAGCAGCCCTGGAAAAGGGCTTGCCCCCTTGTCTGTACACAGCCCCATTCCCCCCCAGTGGAGAGGGAAGAGATGGAGGACCCACCCTTGCCGCCCTAACAGATGGAGGGAAGAAAGGAGCAGGCTTGTCACAGTGCATGCATTGGAACCAGAGATGCCCCCCAGGGTCACAGCAGACGGCAATGCAACAGGTGAGCTGGGCAGCAACAGGGCTGCATCTAGGTGCACTTAACTGGATGAGCTGGCCCGGCAGGATTTCACTCCAAAAGAGGTACTCTTTCCACTGACAGCCAAACCAAATGGTGCTGTTTCTTTGTGGGGCAGGGAAGGGGCTTGGGCCCGGCGGGGGGGGGGGTAACTGTGGCCAATCTAAGTGATGTTCACTTGCCAGAGGGCTGGTGGTCAGCAGCTGGCACCTGGCAGGGGATTGGCAGGGACTTAGAGGGGTGCACCATCACATAGGTGGTATAACATCATTTCTGGGGTTCCACAGAGTATCCGCTGAATCCTAGAGTGGTGGGATATCATTTCCAGGGTGAACCTGGAAGTGACATCATGCCACTATCAGAACAACAGTCATTTTATTCTTATTCTTTTCCCGCTGGCCTACTGCGTGGTGGTGGGAGTTCATGGGCAGCTGCCAATGGGAGATCTCACTCTATAGCAGGAGACCTGGCAACCCTGGGCCCCAAAGGAAGCTCACCATTTTCAGAGTCCACGTCAATGAGCCTGTCTAGGAAGTCTTTGACCCGCCCAATGCTGGAAAGGATAAAGGGGTGTAGAGGCTCCATCCACTGCTCCTTGCCATGACCCAGCTGTAGACCCAAGTTGCCGATGCTTTGCACTGCCTAACGGGGAAGAGAGGCAGGGAAAGAAGGGATTGTAAGGGAAGGGAGAGGCCAGTTGATAAAAGCCCAGCAGTAAGTTTGGTTTCAGACCCTCCTCTGCTCAGTTCTGGGCCCAAGATGCAAAGCCCCCAGTATGGGGCTCTGGGACTCCTGTTTGTTCAGGAGACCGCCTGCCCCACATTGGCTGCTCCCACTCAGCTGGTCAGTGGGAGAAAAGGGGAAGAGGAGGAGGAGGAGGAGATTGGATTTATACCCCACCCTTCACTTGGAGTCTCAGAGTGGCTTACAAAGTCCTTTCCCTTCCCCTCCCCACCACAGGCACCCTGTGAGGTGGGTGGGGCTGAGAGAACTCTGACACAAACTGCTCTCTTTCAAGGACAGCTGTGCCAGAGCTTGTGACTGACCCAAGGTCACATCAGCAGGTGCAAGTGGAGGAGTGGGGAATCAAACCCGGTTCTCCCAGATTAGAGTCCATACACTTAACCACTACACCAAACTGGAAATGGGGTCAATCACCAGGCCCAGAAACATGATGACATCACTTTCAGTCCTACTGGAAGTGATGACATCATTGCATCCAACAAGGTCAGTACGTCTTCCACTGGCTGCCAGTTTCAAATGTGGCAGGAGTGAGCTATTTTCTGATGGGGGGCTGCTCCTAAATCCTCCCCATAAACCAACCTTCACTGACATGCTAGTGGGGTTACCAACCTCTAGGTGAGTCCTGAAGTTATCCTAGAACGTCAAGTGATCTCCAGAATACAGAGATCAGTTCCCCTGGAGGAAACGGCAGCTTTGAAGGAGGGATTCTGTGTCATCACAATCCTCCCTCCCTTCCCCAAACCCTGCCCTCCCCAGGAACAGCCTCCAAATCACCAGAAATTTCCTAAGTTGGAGTCAGCAACTCTACATGCTGTGGAAGAGAAAAACAGAGTCCTCTGTGCCTCTGTGGGGATCTAGCAAAGGGGCTTTATGGAAATATCAGCAGTCAGTGCGGGAGACAGAGGACATCCTGTCTCCACCCAAGAGGGAGCATCTGGCAAATTCCTGGCCTCTACCCAGGCAATTTCCCCTCAGGCTTTCTTGTGGATTAAATAGTGTGGGCTGAGCACTATTTCCTAGAAGAAAGCTCTCAGGGCAGGGATCCAATGTTTAAAAGTTTATTCTAGGCACACATGGAGATACACAACAACAACAAAAGAGGAAATGGAAATAAAGAACTCAGGCAACAAAGTTTTTAAAATATACTTCAGACCTATTCAAAAATTATAAACATTTCTGGTCTTCAAAGCCTTCATTCTTGTCAGGTGAGACAGTCACTCAAGGTTTTATGATGAAGGATGACCATGGCCCTTTCATGCTACCTCTTATTTTAAGGGGTTCTGTATGAAGACGGGGGAGAGTTCTTTGATTAATCAGAAGGGGGGAGTTGGATAAACGATTAGAGACTGTGGTCTATCCTGCTATGTATAACTTATTGTAAATAAGTTCCTATTATGTAATTTCTGGACCACTTAATATGTCACATTAATATTTACGCTATGCTTCAGTTCTCTCTGGTGAGTCTAGATTTCTGAAATCCTAATGCACTGGTTATTGAACGTCCCATTTTGTTGACTGTATGGACTCACGATGTGTAATCCTGCCCTGAATCCCTGTGAGAAAGGTGGACTATAAATAATGTGAACAAAATAAATAAATAAAAATGTTCTCTCCAAAAATGTCAGCACCAAGGAACTCTCTCCCCAGGACCATGTGTGCTTTGCACTCAGCCCTTCTGTGTCCATGTGCTGAGCCAGGAGCGGGTTGCGGAAGTTAAGAGTGGACTGCAAAGGTGTCCTGGGACACGCGCACCAGAACGGTCAAAAGGGGGTGAGGAATTCTTCTGTCCAAGTTTTACTGGGACCTACCATTTTTTCTCCTCGCCAAATCCTTGATGCTTACATTACTTGCCCCAGCTAATGAAATAGAGTTTTGGTCTACTAAGTCCCTCAGAAAACTGGCCTTTCTTATAGAAGAGAGAGATTGGATTTCTAAGCCACCCTTCACTACCTGAAGGAGTCTCAGAGTGGCTTACAATCTCCTTTCCCTTCCCCTCCCCACAGCAGACACCCTGCGAGGTAGGTGGGGCTGAGAGAGCTCTTTTGAGAACTCCTTGTGAGAGAACAGCTCTGAAAGGACTTGTAACTGACCCCAGATCCATGTGGAGGAGTGGGGAATCAAACCCAGTTCTCCCAGATTAAAGTCTGTGCTCCTAACCACTACACCAAACTGGCTGTCATCCAAATAGCTAAACAGAGAGGGGATTGTTCTGCTGTTATAGTTGTAAGCTCATCTCCTCAGCGACAGATTAGGGCCCACCCATGGACCTTCATGGGAAAACAGGGGCTTGGCAAATGCCTATGGATACTGATCCCATACATCAAACTTGGTTTAGATGGACTGTGCAAATACATAATGAAGACATTTCAATGTTGTATATCTTATTTCTCCACTAGGGGTTGCCTTTATGTTACCACAGATCTCGGACTTCACGGTGAGAGTTCGCCTCAGTCCTGTTGCATTCATATGGAGCCATGTTTCTTCCCCAATCATGTGCCCATGCGCTGGTGATACCTTTGCCAAAAGCAAGAGGGTGCGGCTGGTCTGAGGGTCCGCATGCTGATCCCGGAGGTTGAACAGCTTTGGGGTCAGAATGGCAGGAGCAAAGAATCGGAGGAAGAGGAACCCACTGATGGCGATGTATTTGGTATCCTTGAGGAGGAAAAAAAACCAGATAGACTAAAACCCCAAACATTGTTCAAAAGGAAGTTAAGTTTCATATATATATGAAAGTAATTTTTGTTGAAGTGAGACTGCAAACATGTTTTGACATGATAGCCTTCAGGGCTCTTTTTGTAGCAGGAACTCCTTTGCATAGTAGGCGACACACCCCTAATGTAGCCAATCCTCCAAGAGCTTACAGTAGCCCCTGTAAGAAGAGCTCTGTAAGCTCTTGGAGGATTGGCTACATTAGGGGTGTGTCGCCTAATATGCAAAAGAGTTCCTGCTACAAAAAGAGCCTTGTATCATTTCTGTTTGCTAAAGAGAACCTTAGCCTGACCTGGATGACCGAGCCTAGCTTGATCTCATCAGATCTCAGAAGCTAAGCAAGGTTGGCCTGGTCAGTATTTGGAAGGGAGACCACCAAGGACATCCAGGGTTGCTGTGCAGAGGAAGGCAGTGGCAAACCGTCTCTGAATGTCTCTTGCCTTGAAAACCCCATGAAGGGTTGCCATAAAATGGCTGCAACTTGACAAAAAAAAAAAGTGGGGAGAAGCCTGTTTTTTAAAACCAGAAATCATTAGGTTTAAAAGTCTTCAGATCAGAAGCTATGTGCTCTAACGTATAAAATGCTAGAAAGTGCATGAATTCTATTTTCCCCCACTCTAAATATTATGCACACAGGGCCCAGTTTGGATTGAAGCGAGGGGAGGGGATGTTAATGCTCCCCTACCCAGTGCTGTTTTCCTGATCGGAAACACTGGGGGGGGGGAGAGGTGCTGTTTCCTCTCATACGGAAACATGTGCATGAGTACCCATATGATTGCCCAACAGGACAAACGGCAACCCCCCTGGAGCCATTTCAGATAGAGAAACTGGGGCAGGACCTCCTGCAGTGGCCCTGATCCGCTTCATGTTCTTGATTTTTAGAGCAAGAAAAAAACAAACACTGGGAGGCAGTTTGTCGAACTCCCTGGGTCTTGTCTGTTGGAGCTACAAGTCTTCAAATCAGAAATTAGTTGCTCTCAAGTATTCATCTGCCTTCCTGATGTCTCCCTAAACATCATGTCATCTTTCAGGCTTAGTGAATCTTCCATATAAATCCACATGGTCAATACATGGGCTTGGACCCCAGAAGGATTTTTTGGCCCTGAAAAGAGCCGGGGGGGGGGGGGGGCTGAGATGCCAATGTTGGATCAGGCCAAAGGCCCATCCAGTCCAACACTCTGTATCACACAGTGGCCAGAAATACCAGTGCCATCAGGAGGTCCACCAGTGGGGCCAGGACATTAGAAGCCCTCCCACTGGGAGTTACCTCTACTTTTTTGTGCCATTCATCTGAACATAAATGCCCCATAGATTTCTTTCAGCTGTGTCAGGTATCTCTCGTTTCTCTATTAATGTTATGGTATAGTGAGATGCCTACTACCAATGAAAAACAAACAGTAACCATACCACAAAGTTTGCCAGTGGAGGAAAGGAAATGGCAAGTGTGACAGCAAATAGTGCTGGATGTGGGCAGGGGGGAGTGGAAATCCTCACCTCCCTGTCCACAGGACAACCAAGCCTACTTTGGGGATGATCTTCCAGGAAAGGTCATACCAGAGCAGGTTTGGGAAACCACACAGAGGAGACAGGGAAAATTCAGAAGGTGAGTAAAGGCACAATGACAATTTACAGCAAAAAACCCAAAAACCCCATCCACTGCAGGTTTGGGGGATGGGGTGGGGGAGAACATAAAGGAAGACCTCCAAGTGGGAGCAACCTTGGCCCCATGCTCAAGCATAACAAGCGTTGGAGACGGGGAATTGTGTCAAGCCCCATTATTCAGCTGGTGAACCACTAGTAGCTCAAAACTGTCCTACCTGGTTCTCTGCCTCTGGGAAGCAGTCCTCAACGAACCCGTGCAGCTTCTTGAAAGCCACCCTCATGGTGTGGGGACACTTCCCCAGTGAGCCCACAATGGACTCAATGATGTCCCGCAGGTACCCCTTTAGCACCTCCAAGCTGCTGTCTCGTATCTGGGCCTCAGACAAGGAACCCTTGAAGGAGATCCGCCTGAGACAAACATGGGGAGGAGAGATGCACATGCATTACAGCCAAACCTACATATGCATCTTGGTTCCACCAATCAACCCTCATGCCTCTACAAGGTGGCTGTTGTGGTTTCACAGCAAGGGAAGGAAGGCACACAGAACGTACTTGGGTTATGGTTTGTTCATGCACACATCGTTCCCCATCAGCCCTCTCGTAGATTGTTACATTTTTCCATTAGACTTCAAAGAGCTTAGAGGGGTATACTTGGGATAAGGATACAGCGAGGGTGTGCAGAAAGGAGGGAATGGCTTAGTAAGCATTTTGTAACAGCATAGAAAATCTTTAAGGACCCTGCTAAGGGACTCTTGGATGCGACAAATCTTCTCCAAAGGTTTATACACTGAATGTGTCCTATGTGAATCAGGAATGAGGAGGAACGTTTTCCAGTGGTCAAACCCTTTAACTCAACGTTGGAAGTCCTAGCACCATGTCACGTTTGATGCAGTGCCATGCTCTTCTTGACAGCATCCTGGAGATGTCGTTGCTTAGCAACCTGCACAAAGAGCATCTCTCCCAGGAAGGGCTGCTATCTTTGGAGCAGCTGAAATCTTTGAAGTGGGCTGAATACATGTCTTCTGTGCTGATGTTCTATTACATCTACTGGCAGAACTCCTGTCAGAAGACAAGATTGAGGCCAGCATCCCTCACATAAATCAAAGCTTATGCGTGCACACATGCGGAATCCCGTCCATGCTTGTAACATAGCAGTGTTCTTCCCAACTTTTAAAACTTGTTTCTCTTGTGAAGTCAACTCTCTTTCTCTCCCTCTTCTCTATGGATTGCTTTTCTTATCCCAAACTGTTACACTCCTTCCCAAAGACATGTAGAGCCTATGTATACTAGGAATATGTACACAGTAAAATGTTCATGGTTCCTCTCAAAGAATCTTGGGAACTGTAGTGTGAAACAGGAGTGCATCTCCATATGAGTCACTGCTCTCATCGGCACCCCACTGTCTTGCTTCTATCCCAAAGGTTTTCACTTGGCAGTGGGCAATTCTGTGAGTGAACATTCAGTCAACTGAAATGCCACAGAATATCTTAGATGCCTCTGTGTAAGTCACTGCTCTGGGCTTGCCTCCTTGCACTGACTCATGGAGAGAGAGACAGGGGCTATTCTCTCACGATTTCTCTTCATAGCACAATGTATACCCATACTAAAAAATACTAAATTCCTTGAAGACATAGATCGCTGCACTAGAAAATTTAACTGGCATGCAAAAAAACACACGAATCAATAGAAAACTTCTTATAGATAAAAAAGAAAGAGGTGGACTAGCTCTACCTGACTGGGGATTATACTACCAAGCTGCAGCGATGGGCTGGATAAGAGACTGGATAACTCTGGAAGATGAAAGACTCCCACAGTTAGAAGGGCATGACCTACCCATGGGCTGGCATGCACACATATGGTATAACTTAGATAAACCACAACAAAACTTCCAAAATCACATAATAAGAGGCCCCTTAATAAAAATTTGGGGAAAAATTAAAAACAGATTTTACAATAAAATTCCAAAATGGATTTCCCCACTAGAGGCTTTTATAATGCCAGCATTATTAGACAATAGTAAAAAAGTGACATATGAAATGCTAACAGAAAAAAATGAACTG